ACATGAAAAAAAAAGACATAATCATAGAAAGCTCTGAATATGAAAGAATAATTGTTGGCTTTTTTGCAAAAGCAATAGCTAAAACTCTTTTATGAAGTGGTCTAGCATTTATTTTCATTTAGAAAATGTAAAGCACTTCAATTTCAATTATTTTAAGTTAGTCATAAAAGCTTTCCAAAATTGTGTCATTATAGTTTAGACCTCAAGAGCTGCTTAAAGCTTTGAAATGAAAAGTAAGGCTGTGACAAATAAGTTTCATTACTCTTAACCTCCTGAGCAACCAAGCAGAAGATGTGCTTCCAGGAAAATGTGATTAAATAATGTGGCAGCTCTCTGCCTGGGAGACTGAGCCCTAAAAGTTACTTCATGTTCAGTCATAAGACTGAAATATTAAGAACGTAGTCACAGCATTGAAAAATGGAAAACTATAGAGAGGCCATCTCTTGTTTCCCAAATGTGCATATGAAGTAGAGGCAGGCTGACCCTTAGGAGCTTCATGCAGCTGTTTTAAACCAATTTTCCTTAATCCCCTAAAAATAATTTAAAGATGGGATGGACATGATCAATTTTTTATTTTAGAAAGATCAACTAGAAGTTTTAAAAAGCAATATAAGGACAGGACTGGAGATAGACAACATGGAAGTTTTTAGGTAAAAAAGGAAAGAAAGAAAATTAGAACAGCAGCATGTAAAGAGTAGGAATAGAATTGAAGGTATTACGTGGATACAGTGAAACCATCTAGCAGTCCATTTGCTGTGGGGACAAAGAGATGAAGGAACCCAGAGAAACCCCTAGGTGGTGCACTGCATGAAACGGGTGCCATTTTTTTAGAAGATACTACAAGGAAGAGGGCAGAGAGGGGGAGATTGAACCAGCAATGCATATGGACATGGGCATCCTGCATCTGAGATGTGTGTCAGACACCGGGAGAAGTTGCTCAGGAGAACAAATGTAAATATTGACCTGAAGCTCAGCAGAGAGATTTGAGGTGGAGATGAAGATTTGTGTATCATCAATTTTAGGTGGAATATGAGTCAAATGTCCCAGATGATATGTCCAAGATGAGTTTAAAAGGCATAGAAATCCAAGGATGAAAATTCTAAAAACACACCATCACCAAAGAGTGTCTTGCAAAGAGGCTAAAAAAAGAGTTGTCAGTTAGGAAAGAGTGTCAAGTTAAAGTGCTGTCATTGAAACAAGTGAGAAAACGTCAAAAATGTTCATGTACTGAACGCTTCCAAAAGTCATATAAATTAAGAACGAAGTTTTCTGATGGACTTGGAAATTGGAAATCATTTCGGTAATGATTCCCTTTTGGGGAAAGAAGATTAAAGTGTGCAATGCAAAAAGTCCATGTTGACTCTTTTTTCAAAAATCTAAGTGGTGAAAAGAAAGGTAAGGTAGGATCTTAGCAACTCCAGAGAAACACGGTTTGCAAAGAGGGCTTTATTACATGAGACTAAGATGTGTGCAGCCATAGGAGAAGGGATTGCTATGAAAGTGTGAATTAAATCATAGGGAAGGAAAGAAAACATTGATAGGTTGGATCTTTATAGATTTGGAAGGAGATAACGTGAATAAGCAGAGAAACTAAGAGAAAAATCTTTCCCTTTACAGCATCAAAATGCAGAGTTGTGTGTGGTTTGGCTCTGATTCGTGCTTGTCAGGCAGCTCTTTGCTTCCCATTGGAGGTCTGCAGTCCTGCATGTTTCTGATTTCTCTGTGAGTGCCTCCTGTTACATGTCTGTCTGGAGGGAGATGCCACAGCTCAGATCCTACCCCTCATCTAATGTGAGGTAAGAAGGAAAACAGAGGTAGGCCAGGAAGCCCTGGGCATTAAAAGATGACTTGATCCTGGCCTCTTCCAAACCCGCATGGAGGAGGGAACACTCAGTGAACTTTCTGATCACCTGAAGCTGGCCTAGTGCCCATCGCCCACCTGATACTGTCAGGATGCCAGTGGGATTGCGCTGCTTGGCTCTGGGGACGCAGCAGGTAATGCTTTTTCCAAGGCAGTGTAGAGACAGCAAGTGTGCTTTGCTAAAATCTCCTATTCCAAAATATTTTAAAGTTGTAAAATGTTCCCGTCCTTTTCTTTGTACCAAAACTTTCCCTCTTCCTTGTGACCCAATCACCTTTTGACAATCCACTAATTCTTAGAGATTTTATGCTGGATTTTTTAGATGTCAACTTCTTTTTTGATTGTATGGTACCTGTGGAGAGCAAACCACATTTTCACACAAACATATGATTCAAACTCTCAAAATCAAATACTGGGGGTAGCAAGTATCCATTCATTCACTTAGTTTGCCTTCTCATCAGAAGCCAGTAGACAATGTCCTTCTTTTCCTTTTGTTCTCTAATAAATGTTATTAAAAGGGGGGCACTATTTCCTGTATAAAAGTGCTATAAGTGCTATACAGATGTTTTCTTCACAGCTCCCAAATTTATTACTCTATCCTTTAGGGAACATTCTGCTGTTCACACCTTGTTCTCCCAATCTGACCCCAGAGCACAGATAAGTGAAACATCCTGTCAGCCGAATTCAAGAATATCTGCTCAATGTCTTATGTTCACAAATAAAAATAAGTGTCTCAAAATATGGCATCATGTTCTTGTAGAGGCATAAATTAATCAGCATGGGAGAGTAAATAAATTCATAAATTCATTATCTTGATTCTTTAGGCTGATTTGATACAGATTTTAGCTCCATGTCATTTAAGGTTGAAGGGACTTTATTTCTTCTTGATAGCGGATATATTTTCAGGAATAATTTTGTGTACTAACATATCTATGCATTAAGTGTAAATCCTCAGACGTATGAACTCTAAATCCATGAATCAGAATCTTTATCTTAGCAAGGATTACTTTGAAGAAGAATTTCACTAGGACCGTAATTAAATCAAAACAAATAATGGGCATTAAATAGACGATGTTCTAGGACCAGCTTATAATTAAGTTAGAAATACAACGTAAAATATAGTTTAAAATATCCTATATGTTTGTAAACTTTAAATCAGTTGAAAATACTTGATGGAGCAAAAAGAAAACTGAGGTGAAAATTTAAAATGCATATGAGTGAAGAGTTTAAATACTATAAGTGATAATTTAAGAATCAACCCAAAATATTTACACAAAAATATATAGCCTTTAATATTACATTAGAAAAGGAAAATGTGGAAAATTGAGTATAATTCTTAACATGACAGAAGAAGATAAGCAGAATAAACTCAGGGAAGTTAGATGGAAAGTAGTAACAATGGTAGACATGGATATAAATGGAAAAAAGGGAAATACATGATAAAGAAGATTAAGAAAGCAGATAATTCATTTAATACAGAAAAAATGATAAACATCTGACCAGACTAATTACATACGTAGAAAATGAGAACTAAATAGCATTATGAAATAAAAAGGAACAAATTTTCAGAAGTGGAAGGTTTACAGTTTGTATTCCTGCCTTACAAATGGGAAAATTCAGATACGCCCTACCCTGGGGAATACAGGTTATGTGTAGGTCTAAATGTGAGCACAGCTCAGTGTGACGCCAGAGTCCGCACATTTGAATTTCATGCAATAGCACCATCCCCGTTATCTGGCAAACGAAACAAAAAGGGCGGCTCATCAGTTCCCCGAGCGCATGTGCACAGTTCACCCTGCTGTCCCTGGCCTCTTCTCTAATAACGCTACGCCAGCTCTCTATCAAATGTGGATGTTGTGGAACACAGTCAATAAGAAGGCACCACCGTCATTACCTCAAGTAAACCGAATGGTCTCCCAAAGGCCCCTCTTCCAAATACCATCACACTGGGGTTTAGGGATTCAACATGTGAATCTGAAGGGAACACCGACATGCAGACCATGATGCTTATCTTTATCATTGTTTCATCCCCTGATACACTTTTTAAAAATATTATATCAGTGCTGCTCTTCTGGTGGTGAATTCCTCCCATTTGTGTTTGTTTGATAACACCTCTTTTTTTTCCACCACTTCTGAAGGAAATTTTTGATGGATATAAAATCCTAGGTTTTTCTCTTTCAACACTTTAAATATTTCACTCATCTTTCCTGTTTGCATGGTTTCTAGTATAGGCAAGGTGTTTTGTTGTGTTTTTTTTTGTCTTCCCTTTGGATTCTTTCAATATTATCTCATTGTCTTTGGTTTTCTGAAGTCTGAATATGATATAAGTACATATAGATTCTTCGGAGTTTGTCCCATTTGGTGTTCTCTGAGCTTCCTGAGTCTCTGGCTCGGTGTCTGCCATCAATTTTGAAGAATTTGTGTCCATTATTACCTCAAACAGTTATTTTGCTCCATTGTTTTTATGCTTTCTGGTATTTCAGAAAGATGGTTATTATATCTGTTGCAACTGACCTATGATTCCTGGATTTTTTTTGTCTTTTTTGATTCTTACTCCTTTTTGTATTTCATTTCGGTAAGTTTCTTCTTACCGAAATTTAAGTTCCTTAAATTTATACATAGTTTCTTCAGCTGTAACCAGTCTACTGATGAGCCAGTCTAGGGCATTCTTAATCTGCTCTGGTGTCTTTAAGGTGTTGTCTGCCCCTGTGGCACTTGCACCTGTCATTTACAGGAACCTGCGGCCTGGTAGTCACGTTTTCTATGAGCTTCTGATACAATGTCAACATTTAGTCAGCCCACATCTGGTTTGTGATTTCCACAAGTTTTTTCTCCAGAGGTATACTTCCCCTCTCCACCTCTCTTTGGTGAAATGGGAGCACTAGAAAGGGCTGGGGTTGGAACATTTCTCTCTCCGGCTCTTATAAGACTCTAAGGCTTTTTATTAGGGATCATCCTGTGCTCTGGAGAATTCTCAGCCTGGCTCCAGTGACTTCTCTTCCAGATAAGATATCAACTATGACTCTAGCATTTGCCTGACTCTCCAGATTTTAGGGTGATGGTTTATATTAGGACCTTAGCTCTTAGAAGGGTCCAAGAAGAGTCACTGATTCTCAGTTTTTTCACCTTTTTCTTGCAAGGATGGTAATGATGACCTCCCATTCTTTACAAGACAGAACTCTACTCTGAAAACTGAATCCTTGGGAGCAGAGCAAGAAATAAATAAAAGCACAACAGCAACAAAAACAACGACTATATAAATGTACTTGCTTTCCTGTTTTCCTCTCCTCTTTATTAAGTGGTAATTTGCTCTCCCATCAAGCATATTGTTCTGACTTACACTAGCACTTCATGGAAACGTATGAGGGTGTTCCCTTCCCTTGCACACATATGAAGCCAAGCCTAAAGTGTGATATATCTCCAGAATGGGTAATAAAGTGTTGTTACAGAAACATGGCAGATATTGGAAACTTAGTTTTAAAATATGCACATTTTATTTTGTGATGGTTTTAAAGCAGGTTTTCAAGTTTTATGCAGCAGTAATATAACCAAGGAATATAACATTTGGAAGTAGGAGATTAAATACCAGCACAGCTAAACATCTCCTGACAAAGCTACAATATTTGGCAGTTGTGAACTCTCTAAAGACATGCCAGTTTATTTATTGGGTAAGACAGCCACAGTGTATTTGGGAACCCTGGTGTGCAGTGACCACAAGTAAACTTTGAGGGGACAGTCTCCACACTGCTAACCCTGGCTGGCTGTATCCTCTTTGGGGGCACCTGTATGGGGAGTATTAAGCATCATGAAGCACCAAAGTGACTATTAACAAGGGAGAGTACACAGCCTGGCGTATGTGAAGTTAGTTACACAAACACACAAGGACTGACAAGTCTTATATAAAGAATAATGACTATGAAGATACAGTCAGCAAAGAAACTCTGAAAACCCTGGGCAGAGGAACTCTCCTGGGGAATAACGTGCGGGAATCCCATCTTGATATTATTTTAAATAAACTATGTGTTAAGCAATGACTCTCCTCTTCACTATATTGAGAAGTGGGTGAATTGATGGAAAGGAAGCTTATAGAGTTTTCTTACAAGTTAATGGGAAAAAGCCGTTAGGGGAGGGGTTGCGCGTGCATGCCCCCCACGCGTGGGGGGGCAGAAGCACGCGCCAGTTTGGGCGTGGCTGATTCGAGCTTCTGTGTTGTTGCCACAACAGAGTCCGCGTGACGGCATCTGCGAGAAGGCGGCTGCGAGAAGGCGGCTGCGAGAAGGCGGCTGCGAGAAGGCGACTGTGAGAAGGCGGCTGTGAGAAGGCATCTGCAAGAAGGCGCAGGAGCCTTAGCCATGCCGTCTCAGGGTCGCTGCTGGGAGACCCTGGAGGCGCTGCGCAGATCGGAGAAAGGTCGCCTCCGCTACAACCGTGACTTGGTGCTGTGGAGCGACGTGAGCAGTGGCACTGGAGGGGACAGTGGCCCTTCCGATCCCTCGCCAAAGACCCCTGCTGTTACAGAGCCTGTAACATGTCCTGCTGTTACGTGTCCTGCCCCAGCCCCGGTGCGTTCTTTCTAACCTACATTTGTTCCTTGACTCCTGTGTGTGCCTCGCCCTTTCTACGGTTTCTGCCCTCTCCTGCCTATTCGAGCCTTTCTGGGGAGCTCGCCGTTCTTTAGAGGTGCTTTCTTCTCTGAAGGCTTCATTACTATCCGCAGCCATACCAGTTCTAGCTCACAGGGTCAGTTAATTTGCTGTGCATTTCTTGTACTGGGTGATCCACATTTTTAGTAGCAAACGGTAAACTTGACCTAACTTACTGCTGCCAGTGAAAAGACTAGATTTTTTAGAAGACATTAGGCAGACCGGAATTGTTTAATGGTGGCATGGTCACTGTTCCTAGGATTTGCAAAACTCTGTATTAGTATTAGACCATAGGGATTAGGGTGATATAGAGACAATTAAGGCATAATTCTTGTTCCAGAGTTGCTAATGATTTAGCTACAGATAGGAAGCGTTTGCCTGTCTTTTACGTCTTTGACAGTTTTAAAGAGTAGATACCTTACATTCTATAGGATAAATTCCAGTATGGATCTATCTGGTATAGACTGCGGATATTCATTCATGGCAGGAATACCACAGATAATGATGCTGCGTTCTCAGTAAGTCACACCAGGAATCACAGATGCTTCAATCCATCCCCAGTACTGGAGATGCTAACCTTGATCACTAGGTTGCATTGGTATCTGCCAGATATGACCACCTAATTCATCAGTTTTCTCTTTGTAACTAATTAGTATTTTTGTGGGGAGTTATTCCAAGATTACACTAGTATTGTTTCCCCCATGAAACTTCCACCTTTAGCATTCATGAATGGTTTCTGCCTAAATCAGTAGCCTCTCTGCTGTAGCCAAATAGTGTTTCTTTCTATTCATCATTCCTTCTACACTTGTTAGCTGGCAGTCTACCTTGATGAAGAGTTTTAATTCTATCAGCATGGACTCCCAGGTTCCTGTTTTTTTAATGAGTATAATCCATTACTTGTGACCTTGTGCAAGTGCATTTTCAATTTTGTGGCAAGTGTGTCTTATGGATACTCTGAATTGAGATTTCTAGGTCAGAAGGAAAACATAGATTTAGTTCTGTTATATATTGCCATGTTCACACACTTCTCCCCCCAATAATGGATGTATCAGTTTGCTTTCCAGTCAGCAATACATGATCTTGCCTGTTGGCCCATTGCCTTGCCAATAGAATGTGTTACTGATTTTTATTTATGCCTAGCTAATGGGTAAAAGTGAGATCTCAGGAGAGTTTTGCAGTGCATTTCTCTTTTGATAAGATCGGATGTTTTTTCATATGTTCAAGAGCCAGTTTTATTTGTGAATTGCTGGTATTGTGTCTTTTGCTCACTCTTCTTTTTAGGTTTCGGTATATTGAAGTTTACATGTTCTTTATGTACTAGGAATAATAATAGCCCTTATCTGTATATACATTGCTTCCCCCTCCCCCCCTTGTCTGTCAGTTTTTTCTGGTTATGGCGTTTTTGCTTTTTACATCTGAAACTTCAGCCCTGGGATTTATTTTGGTGTAAGGAATGAGAAAAAAAATGCTGTCTCAACGTTACTTGGACAATGTCTTTAAAATGAGCTTCATTACTGTTTAAAATGTGCATACAGTCTGTTTGCTTCTCTGTTCTGACAATTCTCCTTGGGTTTATTGTCCATGGGTTGTGTACCTCTGGTGCAGGTCACATCTCCAGCGCAGCATTATTGACCTTATGGGCTGGGTTGGGTAAGTCTTCGTTGTCAGGGGTGCTTTATACAGTGTTTACCAGCATCCCTGGCCTCTTTCACTAGCTGCTGGTGGCTCCCTCCCACTTGTGACAACCAAAAATGTTCCCAGGCATTGCTGTATGTCCCCTGGGGGTAAAACTGACTGTACTTGAGGACCATTGATCTAGGTAAAATAATTGTTTGCAGTTTTTGAGTAGTTATGTGTCAGGTACTGTTCTAGGTCCTTTGTGTCTATTGCTAACTTAATCCTCCCCAAATCCATTGAGGTGGAGCCTTTACTATACCATTTAAGGAGTGATGAAGTTCAGGCACAGGGGGGTCAGATAACTTGCTTGCTGTCATGCAGCTAAATGGAATGCAGATACGGAATTCAGACCAAGACAGTTTGATTCCAAACTCGGTACTCTGGATCACTGTTACAATGTTTCTCCATATTTCCTGGTAATATTTTCCTGACCTTGAGTACAGTTCTCAGCCAAAATGTGCGGCGTGCTTTAACTGCAGTTAAATGGTGTGAGTTTCTCTGGTTTAATAGCGCTGTATACCAGACATCTTAGAGAGAATAGTTATAAATCCCACTTTATTTAAGCCATTGCTTTTTACTTAAGGAACTACTTTTTTATTGGAAATATAGTTGATATGCAATATTATATTGATTTCAGATGTACAGCATAGTGACTCAGTAATTACAAACATTACTAAGTGCTCATCAGGTAAGTGTAGTCTCCCCCTCATGACTATACCACGATATTACTCTATTACTGGCTATATTCTCTATGTTGCACTCCCATTCCTATGACTAAGTTATTTTATAGTTTGAGGTTTGTACTTCTCTAGCCCCTTCACCTATTTCATCTATCCCCCCAACCCCTCCCCTGTGGTCACCAACAGTCTGTTGTCAGTATTTATGGGTCTATTTCTTTCTGTTTTGTTTTGTGGATTCTACATTTAAGTGCAATCATGTGGCATTTGTCTTTCTCTGACTTATTTTGCTTAACATGATACCCTTTAGGTCTATCCACGTTGTCACAAATGTCAGAATGTCCTACTTTTGTATGGCTGAATAATATTGTGTATATGTACAACATCAGCTTTATCCATTCATTTCTTGGTAGATAACTTTGTTGCTTCCGTATCTTATCCTACTGTAAATATTGTGCAGTAAACATAGCTGTAATATATCTTTTTGAATTAGTGATCTTGTTGTCTTTGGGTTAATTCCCAGAAGTGGAGTTGCTGAGTCATATGGTATTTCTGTTTTTAGTTTTTTGAGGAACTTTGATATTGTTTTCCATAGTGGCTGCACCATTTACATTCCCAGCAACAGTGTAGGAGGGTTCCCTTTTCTCTGCATCCTCGCCAGCACTATCATTCATGTCTTTTGGGCAGTAGCCATTCAGACTTGCATGAGTTGGTACCTCATTGTGACTTTGATCTGCGTCCCCGCTGATTAGTGATGTTGAGTGTCCTTTCATGCATCTGTTGGCCATCTGTATGTCTTCTTTGCAAAAATGTCTATTCAGGTCCTCTGCCAATTTTTGAATTGGGTTGTTTGGGTTTTTTGGTGTTGAGTTGTATGAGTTCTTCGGATATTCAGGATATAAGCCCCTTCTTGGCTATATCGCTCGCACATTCTCCCAGACAGTAGGTTGCCTTTTTGTTTTGCTGGTTTCCTTTGCTGGGCAGTTTTCAGTTTGATGTAGTCTCACTTGTTTATTTTTGCTTTTATTTTTCTCGTCTGAGGAGATTTATCCAGAAAAATAATTACTCATGCTGATGTTCACAAGATTTTTGCTGGGGTTTTCTTCTAAGAGTTTTATCATGTCATATCTTACGTATAGGTCTTTAATCCATTGCTACGTTACTTTTGTGTATAATGTAAGACAGTGATCTTGCAATGTAGTTGTCCAGTTTTCCCAGTACCATTTATTGAAAAGACTGTCTGGTCCCCATTGTATATTTTTGCCCCCTTTGTCATGTATTAATTGACCACATGTGTGGGTTTATTTCTGGTCACTAATTCTGTTCCACTGATCTATATATCTATTCTTGTGCCATTACCACACAGTTTTAATCACTGTTGTAACCACTTTTTATGCCTTTTTTTTAATAAGCCTATTTTCATTTAAAGAATTACATGTTCATATCAAAATTAAAAACAAAATTTAAGGGGAAATATGTCACTCATCACTCAAGCATAACTTTATTTCCTTTATTTATTCTTTTTAGTGGAGTAGTAGTTTTTATTTCTGGTAATTGTAGCCATATTGATTTATCCCCTTGGTTTTTTCACTTAGAATTGAATCTTGGGAAGAGCGAAATGGAGGAAAGTGGTCAAAGATACAAACTTCCAGTTATAAAATAAATAAGGAATGGTTATATAATGTACAACATGATGAATATAGCCTAACACTGTGTGCAATATAAAGAAAGTTAAGAGAGTAAATCCTAAGGGTTCTCCTCACAAGGAGAAGTTCTTTTTTCCTTTTTTATTCTTTTTATTTTATCTATTTATGAGAAGAGAGTTGTTAGGTGAACTTACTCTGATAGTCACTTCACAATATATGCAAATCAAGCCATCATGCTGTACACCTTCTACAGTGATGTATGTGAATTGTTTTTCAATCAAACTGGGAAAAAAATTTAACGTTAAGTATATTACATAGGATTCACAGTATTTTTAAGTGACTGATATTCCACTGATCATGTATACGGTAGTTTACTTCAAAATTCCTCTTGTGTTCATTTCTGTTCCAGCGTTTCAGGTTGCTTTCAAGTATGCTTTAATGACCTTCTTTGTACATTGTTCCTTTTTCCATAGTTAGGGTTATTTAGTCCCATACCCTAAACGTAGTCAGGGTCATTATCAAGAAACTACTGTGCATTCTCTTCAGCTCTGATTGTTAATACAATTACTTTGCATCTTTGGTATGTATAAGTGTATGTATTGGGCATTCTTAGATTCTCAGTAAGGCTTGTAGTGGATTCTAAAGATAAAATTATCTTTGATTGCTGAGATCAGATGACATGCAAGTTGGGCTTCACCCTCTTCTCTCTAGGATATTTTAGAAGAAAGTATGCCTCCTCCCAAGCTATCTTCTTACTGTGGATGGGTGATAGATCATGTCTTAGCCCATCAGCAAGAGAGCCCACTTCCCTCAAAAACTTCAACATCCTCTAGATCTACTGCAGACCTAGACCAGCCTTCATTTGTTCCCACATCTCCTCTCACAAGCCTTGCCTTCCCACCAGCCTCCTCAGCACCAAAAGGAACCAAGGGAAGGGTTTTAATGAGCTTAAGACAAAAGACAATGGTGGCTGTCTAAAGCTGAAGTGTTTAATACGTCCTACAACACTTGAAATTACCCGGAGAAAAATAATGACTCTTGTAGCTGCTTCTTGTAGCTGTTTGTAGGAACAATGTTTACTACATCACCCAGTGTTCTTTTTATGGAGACCCAGAGAGAGAAATTCCCCTCTGTTCTTAACACCAAGAATACTAATTAATTTTATGAGCAATTGGATTGTTTTTTCTCATGAGCATTGTATCTGTTTAACTCATAAGGTCTCCCTTTTTGTGTTGGCTGCTGGAAGGCTTAGTGTAAAATTTATACCAGCTCTTGAATTTATTTAGCATTCACTCTGCATGAATTTTTACCCTCTTTCAGCTCTTTTGTCCCCAAATTTGTTCTCCTACTTAAAAAGAGTTAAATTGTTATTGGTGGTGTCCTTCCTATCTGGTGCTGGACAGAATTGCTGAGATACTCTCCAGGTATAAAATTCAGTCATTCTGGAGGTTAAATGAAGATTTGGAGGGCTTTCTATAATGGATTATTGTATCATTTAGGAGTGGTGTTTAAGAAACAGAAAACCAATTTAAACCAGCTTGAGCAAAACAAGGGAGAGAGAAAGGAATTAATTAAATAATTGATTATTAATTAATTTCTAGGTAGGCAGTCTAGGAGTGCATTTAGAATCAGTTAGGCGATCTGTTTTCTGCTCATCTCTGGTTTACATCACTTCTGGCATGATCCAGTGACCCAGACACAGGCCTTTGCCTCTCTTTCTTTCGATTCTGCCTCACTCCTCCTGGTTTATTTTTCATGTAGACTCCATATGGCAAGATGGCTGTTGGTAGCTCTCGACACACATCTTCCTAGGTTAACATCCCCAGATGAAGAGAAAGCTCTCTCAGAAGCTCCATCAGAAAAAGAGAGGTGGACTCTGCCCCAGCTTGGGTCATACACCTCATTCCTGAAGCAGATACAGGGTGATAGAGTCCTTTGATCATAGGCTGGTTGTATGATTACCCCTGAGGCTAGGAGTGCAGAAGAATTGGGGATGTGGGTTGGGGTTGCTCTATCCAGATGACCTGGGCACAACTGGGTACTTAACAGAAGAAGGGGGAAAAGTTTTCTGGGCAGAGCAAAACAAATAGTTAAGGGAGAAGAAAAATCTGCCCAAGTCAACAAACATCCAGTTTTTAAGGAAGATAATTCGAACAGGGTCAGTATCATGTAAAGCACACTGGTCTGACCTAAATTGTTTCATTGTTGCTTTTATTAGTTGTTGTTCATAAGTAAGGATGTGGTGTTTGTATAGAGAGGATAATACCAACTCTATCATCCTAAAAGCTTGATTTCATCATCTTCTGTCTGTACAGAGCAAACAAGAGTCACAGCATGCAGGAAGTACGGCACGTCCATCCCCCCAGATCACAGTGGAAGGCTGCCTCCGGCTGTATGAGGTGCTGCGCAAACAGGAAACATGGGTAAGTGACCTCTGAAGTAAGGCCAGGTAGGCCACCTAGAGAGCCGCATGTGAATACATTTCCTTGGGGACTATGAATGCCCACTTTGTGCTACTCATCATGCCCCCATTAGCCTATTCAGGGTGAAATAGAGGGCATGGGAGGATGTCAGAAGATTTGCAGATCTCTGTAAATCATTACAGTACAAGTGCCTGGTATCCACCAATTTTATACTAATGATATGGGGAAGGGGGCAGGAGTTGATTGTCCATCCACACACATTCCAGCCGATGTCTCTTCTTTCAGCCCCATGAGCCCCACCTGATTTCAGGCCTGCCATTTCCCAGTCCTCAGCCTCTTGGAGGTTCTGCTGGTACACTGGCCTCTACCTGAGAGGCATAGTCTGAGTGTGTGTCTCCTCGGGCTTTCTCTGCTCTGCCCTGTCAGTCTGTGCTCCTCCATGGACTCCTCTCTTCTAGAGAATGTTGACAGTTTTTCCCTGCTGACGATCTCCCTCTTGTGCTCTCTTACGTTGTCTTTCTTCTTCTTTTCTTCTTCCCCTTCCCCTTCCCCTTCCCCTTCCCCTACCCCTTCCCCTTCCCCTTCTCCTTCTCCTTCTCCTTCTTTCTCCTTCTCAACTCTTATTTAAACAGAGGCTATGAGAAGATATATGTATATGCTTAGTTTAATTTGCCTTCTTGCACTGGAAGCTTTAAAAAAAGTTTTAAAATAGAGTAACATAATGTATTTTGACATATCTCCATGACAGTGTATGTGGTATCTCATCCTCTTGAAAAGCTGCAGAGTATTCTCCATTATGACACACTGTAATATGTTTAACCAATCCCCATTTAATTTGTTTAAAATTTATTGCCATTATCAACAGGGCTGCAGTGAACGACCTTGCTCCTAAATCTTTGCACACGTATGCAACTGTTTCCTTCAGATAAATGCCTAAAGGGGACCTAGAGTCGAAGTATATGTATATGTTTCAGATTTTGACAGTTAAGACGTCACATCTCCCCTAAAAACCATATGGGAACCCTCATGAATAATAATAGAAATATGTGGTCCTCTCAGATATAAAGGAAAGGGACTTAGCTAAGTGGAGGTTGGCAAAAACTCTAGGCAAAATAATAGGACAAGGAAAGAAGTGAGATAGGAATGTGCATAGCGTGTTGGTGGAGTCAGAGCAATGATTTCTGTAGAATACCCTGAAACCATCATAAGATCACAGAGGATGGAGGCTTCAACACTCGGGGCTATTTGGTGCTATGTTGGTGAATTCCCACCCATTTCCAGCTTATACTGGCGTGCGATAAAGGGGTAGGGCAAATTGGAGGAGTTCACCAAACAGCTGAGATTAAGTGTCAGCCCAAAGGGGCGAGCTGACTTGAGCAAAGTTTCTGAGAAGGTAGCAGATGATTCCATGCCCTGGAGTAGCCTTGGCGTTGTTGGTCTGATGGGAGGGCATTCCAGGGGGTGAGGGAGGCGGTAAAGGTGCTCCAGAGAGCGGTGCTGCTTCTCTCCAGGAGAGGCTGAGGTGCCGACAGGAGTTTATAGATAAGACGATGCGAGGCTTTGCTGATGCGGCTTCCGAACAACTGAAGCAGTATGATGCACGGCGGGCGCTGGAGCGTCGTAAAGAACTCCAGGACCTACGCAAAATGATGGAGAACAGGTAGGCTGCCCTGGGGGGGTATGACCAGGAATGTCAGTGTGCTCAACTGGAACTCTTTCCCAGCCCAAAACCCAAAGGGAAAAAGAGTCCAACTTATTTTGAATCCTTTAAGTATCAAAATAACAGAGAAGCTTTTAATGTAGAAAACTGAGCAAACCTGGGAAGAGGACCAACATCTGACAGAGATTGAGGCTGTTAGGAGAGGTCAAGCGACCACAGGAAGTATCCCCAGCTCTTCTTTCTGCCATTTTCCCCTCAGCTCCAGAGAAGCCCTGTTACGCCACGAGAAACTCAAAGCCGAGCATCGTCGCAGAGCAGAGGTCAGAGCCTGGGCAGTCCGTGTGGGTGGTTCAGCGTCTGGCTGTACACTGCCTGCGGAGTCATGTTCTGGCAGTCATGGAGGACCTGGCCCATAGGCCTCTGTATGCCTGGCCTTGGGCTGTCCTCTTCCTGCTCTGGGGCCACACAGGACTTGAAGAATGTAGAGAGAGAAGGCCCAGGAGCCCCTCGGAGAGAGGTAACCTGACAACCCTTTCTACAGATGCAAAATCAGAGGCTGTGGGAGTTAGAGCAACAGCGCCTGCAGCAAGTCGAACAAGAGCGGCTGCGGAAGGAAGAAGGCCGGATCCGCCTGCAGAGACTCTACACCCTGCAGGAGGAGATGCTGCACCTCATCCGGCAGCTGGACACCTTGGAGCAGCAGCACAGGGGCCTGAAGGTTGACCTTCCTGCCTTCCGCACCCGAGGCAACCGGCTGTGTGGCATCATCTCCAGGATCATCTGGGCCAATTGTGAGGTGAGGGGGCTTCAGAGGGACTCTGTCTTCTGTCTTTGACATGGAGAACCTTAAGAACAAAATTGTTTTCTGATTCAAAACTAGTGCCTGCTTATTGTAGAGAATGGCAAACATCACTTGTCATCTCCTAAGCTAGAGTTAGCCACTGTTACATTTTCTGTTTCTTCCCTGACTGTGAGATTCCCCACCCCAAACTGGACTCATCTAGGTAGAGTTTCATATTGTAACTTAAAAAGTACATGTTTCTTCTGATTGCAAAATACTTTAATTCATTCGGTAATATTTACCTGCTGTGCTTATGGTAAACATGGAAACTTTACAGAAATGCATATTGCTTTTCTTTGAGCAATCGTTAAAAGTATTTTGATGTTTTTAAGGTGCCGTTAAGAAATGCAGGTATTGCCTTGACACATAGTAGATATGAAATAAATATTTGATAAACAGATGTAATTGGAGACTTCCAACATATGCCATACTAAAATTTATTGAAAAAAATACTGCCTGTTGAATAGTTAAGTTTCTTTATTCTTACTACCATGCATAAAACAGCAGCTTATATGTCTTATCCATAGTTCTGATTATGAGATAAATTCCTAGAAGTGAATTAGTCAAAGAATTTTAAGGTTCTTGATTCACATCCAGAAGTTATACCAATTCACACTTGTATAAATTGTATGTTCTCACCCTTAGTTCATATGTCTACCAGAATTCATGATTTAAAAAACCAATTTATATGACCTATAAATTATTAAGAACTTTAAGCATTTATCATATCTGAAGAAGAAGTTTATTTTTATAGCCTGTTGTTCCCTTTGAATTCTCTCTATGGCTTTTGCTTACCTTTCTTTTTGTAAAATTTCAAACCTGTACAGAAGTAGGACAGCCCAGGGGGCCTCATGCACCCATTCCCCAGCTTCAGCAAGACTCAACACGGGGCAGTCTTGCTTCATCTGTTCTTCCACCCGCGCCCCTCCCCCAGATGGCAAACACAGAAACATGTTGGTTTATCTGGGAAATACTTTGGTATGTACCTCTAAAAGTGGTTTGTACCTCTAAAAGTATGGCCCTCGTATGTACCTCTAAAAAGATAAAACTCTGTTGACATAACCAAATACTAATCTTACATCTAAAAAACTAAAAAGTTTCCTTAATATGACCAGATATCAAGTCATTGTTCAAATTTCTGTAATTGTTTCAAAATGTTTTAAGAATTGGTTAGAAAATTAAGATCCACACAGCGTTCAGCCTTTTGGTTTGCTTTATATATGTCTTCTTCTTCCAAGGTAAAAGATAGCTTACTGGATGTACTATTCTAGACTTTGATTTTTTTTTTTTTTTTTTTCGATTTAGGGGTTGTTTGAGGGGTGTGGCCCAGTGCTTTCAGGCTGCCACCCCCTGCCCCTATTTTTTTTTATTTAAGTGTCATTGATATACAATCTTATGAAGGTATCACATGAATAACACTGTAGTTTCAACATTCAGCCATATTATCAAGTCCTCAAGCCCCAACCCCCCCATTGCAGTCACTGTCTGCCAGTGTAGTAAGACTCTGTAAAGTTATTACTTATCTTCTCTGTGCTGTACTGCCTTCCCTGAGACCTACCTATATTGTGATTACGGATTATAGTGTCCCTTAATACCCTTCTCCCTCCCCACCCACCCTCCCCAACCCCTCCCCTTTGGTAACCACTAGTGCTTTCTTGGGTTCTGTGAGTCTGCTACTGTTTTGTTCCTTCAGTTTTGCTTTGTTCTTATACTCCACAAATGAGTGAAGTCATTTGGTACTTGTCTTTCTCCGCCTGGCTTATTTCACTGAGAATAATACCCTCTAGTTCAACCCATGTTGTTGCGAATATTAGGATTTGTTTTCTTCTTATGGATGAATAATATCCCTTTGTGTATATATATATATATATATATACCACATCTTCTTTATCCATTCATCTATTGATGGACACTCAGGTTGCTTCCATACCTATTGTAAATAGTGCTGTAATAAACATAGAGGTGTATATGTCTTTTTGAATCTGGGATCTTGTTTTTTGGGGGCAAATTCCTAGGAGTGGAATCTCTGGATCAAATGTTATTTCTATTTTTAGTTTTTTGAGGAACCTCAATAATTGCTTTCCATAGTTGTTGAACTAATTTACATTCCCACTAACAGTGTAGAAGGGTTAACCTTTCTCTGCATCCTTGCCACCATTTATTGTTTCTTGTCTTTTGGATGTTGGCCATCTTAACTGGTGTGAGGTGATATCTCATTGCAGTTTTAATTTGCATTTCCCTGATGAGTAGCGATGTGGAGCATCTTTTCATGTGCTTGTTGGCTATCTGAATTTCTTCTTTTGAGAACTGTGTGTGCATATCCTCTGCCCATTTTTTAATCAGGTTGTTTTTTGGGTGTTGAGGCATGTGAGTTCTTTCTATATTTTAAATGTTAACCCCTTATCAGATATGTCATTTATGAATATATTCTCCCATACTGTAGAAAGCATTCTTGTTCTACTGATGGTGTCCTTTGCTGTACAGAAGCTTTTTAGTGTGATATAGTCCTATTTGTTCATTATTTATTTTGTTTCCCTTGCCTGAGGAGATGTATTCAGAAGACTTTGCTTTTTTACACATAATTTATCCTGGAGATAACTGCTTAGCAACACATAGAGTTTCCCTCATTTCTTTACATAACTGCATAGAATAGTACAACCATAGTTTATATGCCGTTTTTGATGTAAAGAAATTCTGGGTTTTTTTCCTCATTTAATCCATCTGCAATTTGTTTGATGATTGGTGGGAGATAAAGATCTTAATTTAAAAATATTCATACTGTTTTATTACTACTTCTCCACCCTGATTTGTAAATCTCTTTCACCAAACTAAATACTACCCTGGGAGCTCTTTTGCAATAATCTTTTCTGTTTTCTTGATACGGGTTTTTATTCCTATACCAGAATCACCCTCTTTTAGATATAGCTGTATAATATATTTTAGTATCAAAAAGGGAAAACTTAACATGAAATTCCTGTAGAATTTTCTTATTTTACTACCTTGGACAAGGTGGTTTAAAATGAGAGGTGTCATTGATTTACTGGACAAAACCATGAAATGTGTTTATAGGACAGAACATAGAAAATAATGTAGAATGTCTCAATTCATTTTATAATCCTGATAGTCAAATTCTAACACAATAGCACACACACAAAAATGTGCATTTCATTCTGATTTATGCAATCTCATTTATGAGGAGAAGTTCTAAATAAAAGATAAGTAAATAAAATTTATCAGAGGCATGAAAGAATAATGCATTATAACCACAGGTGTTAGTCAAAGAGTAACATGAAGCTGGTTCAGTTGTTATGAAATCTGTTTGTGAAATTCATTTCATTAATAGGTTAATGAAGCAAATCATATGTTTATCTCATCTGATATTGTGAATGTGTATGTTACAATTTGATGTCCTTTCCTAATTAAAAAAACTTACATGGTAAACAGAATAAAAACATGTTTCTTGTTAATATGATCAAGAATATGTATCCATCTATGACTACATTTCAGATAATGCTGTTAAAAGTGGGAGACAAATAATATAGCACATTATTACCTTTCTTCAATGTTGTTTTTAAAGTTTTAGCCAATACAAAATAATTATAACAAAGTATAAATATTTAAATGAAGAAATGTGATTTGGTGATAGCATGTCTACCTCAAAAGCTAAGAGTAAGAAAACTAGAAACTATGAGGTTTTTTTAATGAGATTTTAGTAATGTGGCCAAGTTAAAAATACTCTGTCAAAAAAAAAAAGTTTTTGACAAAAAATACTCTTTCAAAAAATAAACTAGCATGAAATAGATGCGATTTACATGGAGAAAAGTATGGAATTTAGTTGAATTTATAAAATGAGGCTTGAATGAACAGAAGAATTTGCCATGTTCCTGAGGCCTCCTTAAAGTAAGTTACCAAATTTGCCCAAATCAATAAATCTAGTGAAATTTTAATAAAAAATATGCAGACTGTTTCAAAAAGAAATCTACTGATGGGGAACTTGCAATCAAATAAAAAAACATTTTCTAACACCATAGTTAAAGCAGCTTCTTCTTGCCTGTGTACAGACAGCAAGATTAGTGGAACAGCATAGCAAGCCCCAGAAAGACACACATTTTTTATAGGTAATTAATATATACAAAGGTATCATTTCAAATCAGTGGGGAAATGGCGATTATTTAGAACCATAAAAGCAAATATTAAATTTGTACCATTCTTTCATCTTACTCCATATTTCTGGGGTGTTTAAATGTAATATTGTAAAGAAACAAGAAGAAAAAATTATGTTCAGTGGGAAAAAATCCAGGTGAATATTTGAATTAAGGCATGGAAACCCTGTGTAAGCATAGCAATAAAAGCCAATGTAAATGGAAAGGGTCAATAACTGTAAGCACATAAACATTAAAGACACAGTTTATACGTTAGGAAATGTATTTGTGGCATATACAGCAGAGGTATATTCAACGTCTGTGATACAAAGAGTTCTTGTGATTTATGGGGAAAAAAAGATAAGTACATCACGCTCTTTCTACCTACGTCCATCCCACTAATGGAAAAACGAGCAAAGGACAGAACAAGCAGCTTATAAGAGCAGAAATATAATTACCTAGTAAATGTTAAAGTAAGTTCAAAATCACCATTAGCATATGGAATACACAGTATCACTTTTATCTGGAGTGTTGTCTGAAGCTTTTGAAGAACTATTCCAACTATTATTGGTGACAGCATAGAAAAATCTATCTTCAGATACTGTGGATGTGATGGTGAATCAGTGTTACCTATAAGACAACAGAAAACAGTAGGTCTGAACGCATTGAATGCGGGTACTCCATTGGCACAAAAATCCCAATTCTGGAAGCGTATTGATTTGCGTGAGGTATGATTCCATTCCCAGGTGCCTAGGCAATAACCACTAAGGTCTGTCTCTGTCACCCTCACAGAACAGCCTTCCCACGGCAGAGGACCAGGCTGTGGCCGAGAGGGCTCTGCAGGAAATGTGGGTCCTCCTTAGGAACATGGAGCAGGAGATCGCCAGGGCCTGTGAGGACAAGAGGAGGCAGGAGGCGGAGGAGGCCCGGTTAAAGCAGCAGGAGTCCCAGGGGAAGCAGGGGCCTGAGGTCCACACAGAGTCCCCGGATCCCAGCCAGGGCCTAGGAAGGAAACAGAATGACGGTGAGTTTTGGTGTGGCGAGAACCCTTTCACTCTGAGTGTGAAAAGAAAAACGAATGTGCTTTAAATATTGTGTTAGGCCACAGGATGGTTTCCTAGAACTTTTACATAATGTGCTTTTACTGAATTGCAGTCAGTTTGGTTGCTGTGGAGCCTGACCTCAGATTGCAGCCTGTGCCATGAGGATTGAAATTGTGTGTAATCCTAGTAGATGTATTATTCCAAGCATACCTGCCACTGAGTATTTTAGATAAACATGTGTGAACAAGATATGTGTTCATTTACTACATCAGGGAATAAGTATAGCATACCACTTGAGAATAATGCTGGTTTTGGAGCCAGATTGGTGGCAATCTAGTTTTTCTGCTTCCTAGCAGTGTGACTTTGGAAATTACTTAACCTTTCCATGCTGTTGCCTAATCTATAAAATGAAGATAATTACAGTATGTCCTTCACAGGATTATTATGATGCTGAAAGCAGTTCATAGCATATGTAAGGAGATGAGAATAGTGCCTGGCTCATCAGCAAATGCTGGCTATTAAGAAAGCCTCTCTGTTACCCCTCAGAACTCCAGTTCAATGCACAAGACAGCACAATGCAGTGGTACCAGCAGCTACAGGACGTTGCCAGTCAGTGTGTGTTGGCCTTTGAGGGACTGACCAGCAGCAAAGACAGTCAGGTAGGCAGCAGTGTAAATCAGGAGTTCTCTGGGCCTTCTCATGCTGTGTCCCCCAGGAAGTTCTCTAGCCCCTCATGTTCCCTGACCCTAACGGCCTCTACTCAGCTCTTCAAAACTCTCTGCCTTCTCACTGTTTTCTTCGGGCAGGTCAGAAAGATAAAGATGGACCTCCAGAAGGCTGCCACCATCCCAGTGAGCCAAATCTCCACCCTATCAGGTTAGTCAGAGGGGTTAAGAGCATGGCCCTTCACTTCATTTTATTGTTTTTTAAGATTCTAAATCTATTTATCTGTAAGGTTTCTATAAACAGAGTATGTTCAACCAAGCGTTCACAGTTGAATCAGGTACGTGTCAGTTCTGTGAGTCCTGTTTTACTCTGCTTTATTTCCTCTTCAACACACAGAAGGTAATTGGTACGTATTTGTTGACTCATGTGTTAAAAATAAGCTGTGTATTAGTAGTAAATTATTTATCAAGGCTCTTAGCTGGAGTTGAAAGTTACTGCTGAAAACATTTCTAAGGGAACCTAGGATGTGACCTATTCTTTGCTTTTGTCCTGTTTCATCATCTTTCCAAACTTGAAGCCTGCCTAAATACTTTAAAACAAGTCCGTTTCTCCCCAGAGACTGAGATTCAGAGTAAAAACCAAACAGAAAAGACCCTTCTTCTTCTTCTATAGAAACAGGTTCCAGTTCACAGAAGCCTCCGGATTACCGACTGCAGCCAAGTGGCCACAGCGTGTGTACAGCTGGAAGGCTGCTCTGACTTAGCATGGCTCCCAGGGCCCCTGATTAACTTTTTACCTAAAAAGTATAGGAGAGTCTCAGCTTCAGCCCTTGACAGGCTATGTCACAATGTGGTAGGAAGCCAGGGAGACAACTTTTCTGTTGAGGCTTCAAGAATGTAGAAGAATCACAAGGGGCTTGGGTGCTTGAGATTGAAGCCATGTCACAATGTGTTCTTATTGTGGGACTCAGTGGTACGGAACAGCTTCTTGATCATAGTCGTGGAGGCCCATTTGTTTATAATACGAATACCTGGGTAACCTTTACAGACATAGATTAAAATATAACTAGCATCCTGGGTACACCTATATAGCTCCCACTGTAACGGTTCCTGGGTGCTGACTCACCCCCCCAAACCTTCTGGTGAATGTATAGAAGGCACGGCCCTGCTGCACTTGGGGCTCAGCCTGTGGATAGGAATCCGCTGAGCCAGGGCCGGCACTAATAAATGCTGCTGCTCCCTGAACGTGTCGGCGTCCCAATGCCTTGTCCATAGTTACACGATACCTGCCACAACAGAACTCAGTAACACTTTGCTGCCCGAAATTCTCTCTGGAGCAGGGCAGGGTGTAAATAAATAAGAACGTATAGCTTTCAGGAATGTGAAGTGCCTTTTCCTGTGGTAGCCACAGGGGAGATGCTGACTAGATGGCCGTTCCTCGCCTGCATTGCCCTCCTCAGCTCATCCCCAGGCCCCCTGGGTGACCGCAGTCAGCCCTGAGAGCCGGAGGTGCTTGCCCCTCCCACCTGTCCACAGCTGTATTTCCCCCTTAGCATCCTGGTTCAAAGGACAGGTGTCCTTCCAGCCCACGGCTCCTTCTCCCTCCGCTTGTTCCCATCCCTTCCTTCAAGACTTCTCCTCGTCATTTCTTGCCTTTCTCTCCTGTTTACTGCAAATTGTTCCCTTCTGTAGGCTCCTTTCCCTTTAAATATACTTAAGTGCCTCACATCCTAAAATGTTCCCTTTGATTCTATATGTAAGTATTTTCTAGTCTTCCTCGTGGGTGTGCTTGGTGCCAGGGATTATTCCCTTCCTTGTGGCCTCCATTTTGTGGCCCTCTGTGACAGTGCTCTCTTCCAGGTTCTCCTCCTACCCCACCTCCTCCCATGTGGGCTTCTGTTCCCTCTAACTATAGGTGTTCCCTAGGAACCCACCTCACCCCTCAGTGCTTCTCATTCTGCACACACTGTGGCTTCCAAGGTGACCTCCAGTGCCGGCGACTCCGCAGTCTGGTTCGTTCCTTTCCACCGAGCTCTAGGTTCCCTAGCTTCTGCTGTCTGAGCAGCGTCTCTCCTGGGCATTAGTGAGCGGCTTCCGCATGCCTGGGGTTCAGCGCGTTCCAGTCTGAACTCATCTTCCCACGCCTGCTTTCCTCCTGCTCATGCTAAGTGACCCACACTGTTCCCAGCTAGTCACTGAGCTGGAAACCTGCAAGTCCGCTTAACTGCCTCCTCTGTTTCACTCACGCTCCCCGTCTGACTAGGCTCTAGTTTTGCTGTTCTTCACTTTTCTGTGTGTCTCCTGACTCTGTCCCTTTGTCTCTGTCACTTCCGTAAGCCCTTGTCCTGCAGCCAGACATAGACGTGTACTAGCATCAGTGCCCGGTAAACGTCAGGTCACTGAGAGAGCACCCAATTCCTGTCTCTTTAGAGGTGGATGTCCACGAGTTGTTAGATTCAAGCAGAATTTAAGTATCTTCTGTGCTGGCGTGGTATATGGGATGTGGGAGGCCGTATCAGCCATCGGGTGGGGAGCTGGCTTTCCTAACAGGAGAAGCGTGGAGAAAGGGACTGGATGGGGGTTTGGGCCAGACAGCTTCTCTGAAACCCTCAGTAAACCAGTAAGTATGGATGTGAGCTGGGTGTGTTTGTATGGAAATGTATGTATTTTAATAATCTCTGTAAAGTTTGAGTCTCTATTTCTGTTTTTCTGGGAATTATTAGTGTTGGGGTTTCTGTGATATCTAATTATTTAATTCATTATTCCCTCTAGCTGGGTGTGTTTGTATGGAAATGTATGTATTTTAATAATCTCTGTAAAGTTTGAGTCTCTATTTCTGTTTTTCTGGGAATTATTAGTGTTGGGGTTTCTGTGATATCTAATTATTTAATTCATTATTCCCTCCTTCTCTTTTTACTTCCTAAGAAATGGGGTGGGCTTTTTTTTTTTTTAATGGAATTGAATTGGTGGTTTGGGAAGGATATTTCTGAGATTTTTATAACATTTCTCCAAGTAATTAGGAATTGATCCAGTATTTCTAAACTAGCGATGCTGTATTCATTCATGTAAATTTTCATTGCAAATAATGGAAACTAATTTAGAGCTGCTTAATCAAAAAAAAAGGCATTTGTTCTTAAGGTAAAGGGGTTTTTCACAGAACATAGTGGCAGGAATGGGGCTATGTGGCTACATTCTCCAGAAGCAGAAACGTTTTTGCCTTTCTCTCTTCCATCTTGTCTTCACTCTGTATATCTTTGTTCTTATTTTTGGTCCACATGGCAGGTGCTGGGCCCACTGCTCACAGGTGTGTGCTGTAGGCCAGCACTGCAAGGAGTTGACTGTTGGCTGGTTCGGCCTGCCCACTCCTTCTCTAACTGTAGCCAGTGCTGGGGATGGGGCATGCAGGACCTGCAATCCAAATGGCTAGTGTAGCCCACTCTTCTGTCTCTGAGGATGAAGGAGAGCAGGTCCTGGGGCAGTGGGGGTGGGGAATCATTATGTGTTGGGGAGATCCTTTAGATGTTTTCTTCCTGGAGATGATATCTTTGTTTTGGAGATACCAACCACAGCCCATAGGGTCTGTTACAGTTCACACCTTTTCCATACTGTTTGTCTCTCTATTTGATGTGTCAATTTCAGAATTAGTTCGTTCCCAAGTAAGGAATTCTTTTGAGATGGTACCATGTTGTATGTACTTCTGCACCTCAGATAACGTGCATTTGATTGTCAAATATTTATCCACACCAGTATTTTAACTTCAGGCTCTGAACTTCTATAGCACTTAATAGCTGGAGTTATATAGAGGCCTTGTTATTACAATGATGAGAAACGATCTGCAGTTGTGTCTTCTCACTAAACTATCTCTGTCATATCCAGGCTCAAAGCTGAAGGAGGTCTTTGACAAGATCCATGACCTACTCTCTGGAGAACCTGTTCAGTGTGGTGGGTGCACCGTGTCTGTCACACTTCACCCACAGGGCCTGGACTTTGTGCAGTACAAACTGGCAGAGAAATTTGTGGTGAGAAACCTTATTGCCAGAGGTATGGAAGAAGGGGTTGGTACACAATGTTTAAGCCTCCCGTGAGTATTAAGTTCTGTCTCTCTGTCCCCAGAAACAAGGAGCTGAGGAAGTGGCCTCGCACCATGAGGCAGCGTTTCCCATCGCAGTGGTGGTGTCCGGGATCTGGGGACTCTTCCCCAAAGTGGGGGCCCTCATTCTGGCTCATCTGCACAAGAATTGCCCTTACTCAGTTCCTTTTTACCCAGCCTTCAAGGAGGGCATGGCTTTGGAAGACTATCAGAGGTAGAGTTGTTTCTCCTCACTGGCTATGAGGGTGATGAGTGAAAGAGAAATAGAATTGGGATTCGTTTCACCCCCGCTTTCAGCTCCTCTTAACGCCCCTTGAGTGAACTATCAGAAAACACAGTGTCTTTCATGTAAACTGGGTGACTTTTGGAATTTGTGGATTTAGATACAATAATCAAGATAGTTTAATGGAAAGAATACTGGATCTAGAATCCAGGGGGTACCTGCTTTGTCATTTAATAGATTTGCAGAATGGGTAAATCATTTAACCCCTTTGAGCATCATTTTCCTTATTTGTCTGTGGGGGCAACGATATGCGTTACCTCCTGTGAGTTACCTCAAAGGGCTTAGATGATGCACAGATTCGATCATGGAGATGAGTACTTTGTAAATTAAGTATTCTACAAATGTAATATCTAATAATTTAATAATGCTAAACATAATACTAATGTAGTGTTATTTTAGCCATGAAAATAGATTGTCACCTTCACTTCAGCCTTATCACATTGAGATTTTTCTTCCTACATAGGATGCTTGGCTACCTAGTGGAGGATTCCAAGGTGGAACAGCAGAGCAGATTTCTGAAACGCATGTCTGGGATGATCCGTCTGTATGCTGCCATCATCCAGCTCCGGGGGCCATATGACAGCGAACAGGAGGTAGCCGACCAGGCCTCCTGGCAGTGACGAGAGTCAGCCCTCATTCTCGTGTTCTAGCTGAAGCAGATGCTCTATCCAGGGAGTCCTCCAGAGAGGGCAGTCTAGTTGCATGTTAAGCTAAAGGGTATTCCGGCTTCATGGGTAGTCTCTAAAGAAGTTCATGTTAATTATTAGGAAACTTTTGGATCATTAGAGCCATTTGTTCAAGGACTGATTCATATAAGACACTAAAGAACTGGGTTTGTAGAAGAGGCTGTCAGACAAGAGTAAGGTAATCAGTCATTAAGGTTAAAGATTTTATTAGAAGAAGTGTGAGCAAGAAAGTGTCATATTAGACCCAGTTGGGCCTTAGAGGTCATCTAGGTCGTGTCCTCACTGACGGACAGATGGAGGCTTAGCAAGCCACAGGATCCACACTGTCAAGGACAGAGCCACGGCCCTATGCTTTCCCCAGGATACAGATTAGAGATGAAGAAGTTATGGACTTGCGGACGTGAAGAGAAAGGAATATAAGCGAACCGGATCTGAGCAGTTTTTATTGTGTACTTGCTGTGTCCCAGGTTCTGTGCTAAAGGCAGCAAAAGTGATGAGTAATAAGTAAAACATCTATAAGGGTAGCTGTTGGCCTGTGGAACTCCTTGAACTATAGCTGACAGATGTGTATTCAGGGGATCCTGAAAAGAATATGTGGGTCCCAGTGTGCTGGAACATTTAAAATCATGATTCGCTTGGGTTGTGCTGCTGCCCTGAGGCATGTGCTTGTTTTAGGTGATCTGCGGGTTCACATCTAATGGCTGGATTCTAACACTGGGAATTTAGATCGCTGAATAAAATGAGATAGAATTATAGGCAAACTTCTGTTCTCCCAGGCTTATCCTCATGTCTTAAATCATGGCTGGCGTTGGTTGGCAAAGATCTTAAACATGGAGCCACTGTTGGACGTGACAGCCACCCTCCTCTTTGACTTTCTGGAGGTAAGTGATGCAGTTGTCCCAGAGGGAAGGCAGTGGTTGCGGCAGCCCTGGGACCCCTGCGTGATGTGAATGGGGTAGCGGTGTGGAAGCAGAGGCGAGTGGTGAGCAGCTCTAGGGCCCAATGTCAGAACTGCTTCCCGAGCCCCGACACAAACCAGCCTAGCTCTCCACTTCTCCCACTGTTCTTTCCTTCTCTCTGGATGTTTTCTTGTTTTAAACAACAGAAAACTGCATCCTAATGTGAGGGAAAAGGTGAGTTTATTTTAGGGTGGAGAGTGACACCAAGAACGAAGGGCGGGGCATGTGGTGGAATCTCACAAGGGCCGGGACCAGGAACTGAGTGTCGCCAGGTACCAAGTGTCTCTCTGGGGCCACGTGATTGATCATTTGTGCTTCTCCTGCAAATTGCCGCATTCTTGCCATATAAGCCAACTTTCCTCCAGCTCCCTGTGCACAGTGGAGAAGATGGCCATCCAGGCAGTATCCCTCAGCCTCAGCGTGGTCACCCAGCCTAGTGGAACTGGTGTCCTACCACCGTGACCCCTAGTTCCCAGGAAAGAACATAAGATAAACCAATGCTCCCACTCTAGGGTGAGGGTCAGGCTTCTGTGGGAAAGAGACACTTCTGAAAGAATAAAGGCTTGGCATACATACCATACAACCTGGGGTCATTTGGCCTATAATGTCAATAGTTTCTAGTCACCTTTCAGTTCCTGAAGTTACGTACGTGAGTAGTGATCCTGAATCACTGAGAACACAAGTGGTGTTCTGTGTACTGTGCTCAGTGAGGTTGAGAGGTGTGCCACATGGTTTGAAAGGCTTCCATTCAATAGAATCGAAGAATATTTAAGTTTGATTCACATTTTCTGGTTTTCTGAAATACCTGGCTACGTGGCAGTCTGGTTAAAGGGAGGTATTGGCATATACAGAGGAATGCTTCTGAAAAAAGTTGAATTTTTCCATCAGTTCCCGTAGTTAACTAGCCAAGTGGCATTGTGGCTAAAATTCTTGATATGAATGGAAGGCAGAGGGCTGGTTGTGCTGGAAGGGGTCTCCCACGTGAGTGAATTTTCATTCTCTACTCTGTGCCTGTCTTCCCCTGCAGGTATGTGGGAATGCCCTCATGAAGCAAAACCAGGTCCAGTTCTGGGAAATGATGCTTTTCATCAAGGAAGACTACTTACCCCGGTATTACCTCACTGAGCAGACACTTGGGGGTTTGGTGGGTGAAACTCATGACAGCAGATACCTGTAGGCACTGTTATGTGCCGTTTTTGATTCAGTTAAAAACACCTGTGCAAAGTGTGACATCTCCCATCTTTTCTTGATATTTGAACACACAGTTCTTAAGAGTCTCTCTTACACATTATTAGCTAAAAGAAAACAAATTAGGAAGATCTTAGATTCAGATACCGAACATTTTTAAAACTCTGTCCTTTTCCAAACTCCCCCAGATAATCTGGGATGGTGATTACATGCAGTTATGAATTAAACAGAGTCAAATCCCATCAATCAATAAATCTGTTGGAGAAGCTGATTTATCGACCATCTGGCTTGAATCTAGTGTGGCTTTTCCCCTATCTGTAGCCTTCTTCCCCTTCCCAGCTCATTGGCATCTCAATGGGGAGAAAGACATTGGCAGCCATATCCCACCTGACCACGGACACCTTGGGGAGGAACAGCACTCTCTTCTCCTTTGTCTGGTTTGGAAAGAAAGTTGAGACCATTTGGAAAAACAACAGCATTCTTAGCCTTTTAAGACATCTCTGCCCCTTCCTTCAGATCAACAGGGTGCTGAACTTGGCTCCAAAAGACAGGTGTGAACTGTAGGTGTGACTCAATGTCTCTTTTCTCTCCCTGTAGGATCGAAGCCATCACAAGCTCAGAGCAGATGGGCTCCTTCACACGCCTCAAACGGTTTGTGGAGGTAAGACACCCTTAGACCAGCATGTGCCAAACTGTTGCTGTCCTTGAATGGGCCTGGGTCTAACAAGCTTCAGATCTCTAGACTCTGATCGCAATCTTCTCTTGATTTTTCTGAACCTTACATTTTTTTTTATCTCTTCTCCATCCTTTCTGTAATTACATCTTCAAAGACCCTATTTTTTTTATTTTGTTATGATTAATCTACACTTACATGCAGAACATTATGTTTACTAGGCTCTCCACTTCACCAAGTCCCCCCCACAATCCCCATTACAGTCACCGTCCATCAGCATAGTAAGATGCTGTAGACTTACTACTTGTCTTCTGTGTTGCACAGCCCTCCTTATGCCCCCCCACATTATACATGCTAATCATAAGGCCCCCTTTCTTTTTCCCCGCCCTTATCCCTCCCTTCCCACCCATCCTGTCCAGTCCCTTTCCCTTTGGTAACTGTTAGTCCATTTTTGGGTTCTGTGATTCTGCTGCTTTTTGTTCCTTCAGTTTTTCTTTGTTCTTATACTCCACATATGAGTGAAATCATTTGGTACTTGTCTTTCTCCACCTGGCTTATTTCACTGAGCATAATACCCTCTAGCTCCATCCATGTTGTTGCGAATGGTGCGATCTCTTTTTTTCTTATGGCTGAGTAATATTCCATTGTGTATATATACCACATCTTTATCCATTCATCTACTAATGGACACTTAGGCTGCTTCCATTTCTTGGCTATTGTAAATAGTGCTGCGATAAACATAGAGGTGCACCTGTCCTTTTTAAACTGGAGTGCTGCATTCTTAGGGTAAATTCCTAGAAGTGGAATTCCTGGGTCAAATGGTATTTCCATTTTGAGCTTTTTGAGGAACCTCCATTCTTCTTTCCACAATGGTTGAACTAATTTGCATTCCCACCAGCAGTGTAGGAGGGTTCCCCTTTCTCTGCAACCTCACCAACATTTGTTGTTTGTCTTTTGGATGGTAGCAATCCCTACTGGTGTGACATGATATCTCATTGTGGTTTTAATTTGCATTTCTCTGATGACTAGCGATGTGGAGCATCTTTTCATGTGTCTATTGGCCATCTGAACTTCTTCTTTGAGAACTGTCTGTTCAGCTCCTCTGCCCATTTTTTAATTGGATTGTTTGCTTTTTGTTTGTTGAGGTGCATGAGCTTTTTATATGTTTTGGATGTCAATCCTTTATCGGATCTGTCATTTATGAATATGTTCTCCCATATTTTAGGGTACCTTTTTGTTCTATTGAAGAATCCTACATTTTTGTCCATGATTCTTTCATAATCTTATGGGCTGCTATTTCATCTCCTAAGTCAATGTCCATATTGCCTGTGGAAAGCTATCCTAAGAGATAAATAAAATGTGTTGAATAACTCTTGTCTCACCAGTACACTTTTTTGCATAATAGCCAAGGTTTTGGTCTCAGTCTCAGGTCTGGGGAACTGGTTAATGTGGTCACTTTTCTCCATGAGAACAAGCCATACTTTCAGCCAGACTCCTCCCCTGTTTCCAAGAGGCAAACATTTTCTTTTTGGTATCCTTAATCTACAATTACATGGGGAACATTATGTTTACTAGACTACCCCCTTCACCAAGTCCCCCCCACAAACCCCATCACAGTCACTGTCCATCAGTGTAGTAAGATGCTGTAGAATCACTAATTGTTGTCTCTGTGTTGTACAGCCCTCCCTGTGCCCCCCACACACATTATACATGCTAATCGTAATCCCCCCTTTCTTCTTCCCTGCCCTTATCCTTCCCTTCCCTTCCATTCTCCCCAGACCCTTTCCCTTTGGTAACTGTTAGTCCACTCTTGGGTTCTGTATTTATGCTGCTGTTTTGTTCCTTCAGTTTTTTTTTTGTTCTTATACTCCATATATGAGTGAAATCATTTGGTACTTGTCTTTTTCTGCCTAAGAGCCAAACATTTTTAAGAGGTTAACTTTGATAAATAATTTATAATTCTTTGGTAGGTCTTCCAAGACTGTCCACAGACTTCCAAATTCCAGTGGCCCTGCGGGGAGAACAAGTGACAGCAAACGAGGCCAGGCCCTGGGGGGTGGGGCAGGGGAGGCATGGTGACTGCAGAACACTTGTCTTCTGTCATGCCTCATACAGAGGCAGACGTCTTACACACAACACTATACATTTTCCCTTCTGACTGCTGCTCCATAGGACTTAATGTGCTGCGCCTCAGAGTTTCTTCCGGCTTCAGAGTGCTGGACGGAGTGTTACAAGAAAATCATTGTTTTCTCCATCTTTCCCTGACCAGGAATGTTGGCAGTGCAAGGAGATTCCTGTGCCTGAGGGCTTTCTGCCTCCCTCCTTCTGGCATTCCTGATGTCTGCCATCATCCATCACCACCATTTTGTTGTGGAACAACAGTAATAAAGCAGCTCAAGACAACTGTATTTGGAAGAAAGCATGTCAGATGCAGAAATCTACCAATACTCATCTTTATATATTTGTGTCTTTTGACCAGGAATGAAGATTTTCATGGGTCACAAAACCTAGGTGGCCCCTTAGTAGATCTGATGACTCCCTAAGGGATCCATATGCTAAGTGATAGATTCAAAAGGTCCACTTTTACAGTGACTACAATGGGGTATGAGGGGGGCGGACTAGTTAATGGGGGGGGTCTAGAAACATAATGTTCAAATAATTGTATGTTAACAATACCAAAATTTTAAAAATAATAAAAAAATAAAAATAATTTTTAAAAACGGTCCACTTTAATTGTCTCAGTTAGTAGCCAAGGCCCAGTCCTTACCTACAAGTCAAGGTTATGGTGGTTTTTGCTTTCCTCAGCTTGTGACATAATTTTAAATTCAGAGGAAATGCCCGATGTCGACAAGGATGAGTCCCAGACAGCATGAGAGGTAGTTTAGTGTCTGGGATCAGGGCTGTTAGCACATGTATTTTGAACCAAAAAACACTGTTTGTTCTTTAAATTTGGAATCTGGTCTGTGGACCACTAGGGATGCAAAAACCAGGCAGGTGCCTTTGTGTTTTTCAGTTTGGGTTAGATTGGGCTGAGATGGGGCCTGGTACGCTGTGCATGGGCTGAGCATCTATAAGCAGTGGACGCAGGGTTAAACATGTTAGGGAAGAACTAAGAATTGTTTTCTCTTTTTTTACATGTTCTGCATAATAAATGATGATAGGGCTTGGTTCTTCAGATAAGAATGGGATCTGTTCTGTGGAAAGACTCATTCTCCTTCACACTGCAGAGGCAGCAGCCATGGATCTGTTCCATGGGCTAAATGTCGTGGGAGGGATGTGTTTCAGGGGTATTCCCTGCTATTCTTGAGTGGCTTGAAGTGGTGTATTCCATGAATTATTGACTTTGGTGCCAAAAAATGAGTAATAAAGCTTTATTTTTAAAAAGCCATTGCTCAAAAATGAACAAGTGGGACTATATCAAGCTGAAAAGCTTCTGTACAGCAAAGGACACCATCAATAGAACAAAAGGTACCCTACAGTATGGGAGAATATATTCATAAATGACAGATCCAATAAAGGGTTGACATCCAAAACATATAAAAAGCTCATGCACCTCAACAAACAAAAAGCAAATAATCCAATTAAAAAATGGGCAGAGGAGCTGAACAGACAGTTCTCAAAGAAGAAGTTCAGATGGCCAATAGACACATGAAAAGATGCTCCACATCGCTAGTCATCAGAGAAATGCAAATTAAAACCACAATGAGATATCATGTCACACCAGTAGGGATTGCTACCATCCAAAAGACAAACAACAAATGTTGGTGAGGTTGCAGAGAAAGGGGAACCCTCCTACACTGCTGGTGGGAATGCAAATTAGTTCAACCATTGTGGAAAGAAGAATGGAGGTTCCTCAAAAAGCTCAAAATGGAAATACCATTTGACCCAGGAATTCCACTTCTAGGAATTTACCCTAAGAATGCAGCACTCCAGTTTAAAAAGGACAGGTGCACCTCTATGTTTATCGCAGCACTATTTACAATAGCCAAGAAATGGAAGCAGCCTAAGTGTCCATTAGTAGATGAATGGATAAAGATGTGGTATATATACACAATGGAATATTACTCAGCCATAAGAAAAAAAGAGATCGCACCATTCGCAACAACATGGATGGAGCTAGAGGGTATTATGCTCAGTGAAATGAGCCAGGTGGAGAAAGACAAGCACCAAATGATTTCACTCATATGTGGAGTATAAAAACAAAGAAAAACTGAAGGAACAAAACAGCAGCAGAATCACAGAACCCAAGAATGGACTAACAGTTACCAAAGGGAAAGGGACTGGACAGGATGGGTGGGAAGGGAGGGATAAGGGCGGGGAAAAAGAAAGGGGGCCTTATGATTAGCATGTATAATGTGGGGGGGGGGTATAGGGAGGGCTGTGCAACACAGAGAAGACAAGTAGTGATTCTACAGCATCTTACTATGCTGATGGACAGTGACTATAATGGGGTTTGTGGGGGGGGTACTTGGTGAAGGGGGAGTCTAGTAACCATAATATCCTTCATATAATTGTAGATTAATGATTATAAAATGAATTTAAAAAACCATTGCTGCTATCTAGTTGTTTCAGTATGATCAATTTCCTGTACCTTGAGCTATAAATCATCAGCACAACAGTCTGGTGCCCAAGTCTAGGTACAGAATGCTATGTGTTTTTCTCTTTTGTATCTTCTTTACCTTCACCTTGGGAAAATGGCTTTTTTTTTTTTTTGTCATTCCTCTTTTGGAACTATATACCAGTAACTGACCCTGTTTTATCTAGCAAAAATGGAAAAATAAACACCAGGGAAAGAGTCAGACTTGTTCTAGGTTTTCACTTTTAGGTTTTTGTGGCCTTGGGTAGGTCACCCACCCTCTCTGAACCTCTGATCCCTAGATCAGTAGTTTTCAAATTGTGCTCCTGAGGAATGCCTTCCCTGAAGGCAGAACATTCCAGCTGGTGGGTAATGGCAGCTTAGCTCCTTAGTGCAGGGAGGGGCCCTGAGCCAGTGGCCGTTTGCACCCGCTCTCTGCCTGTCCTGTACTGATGCCATCTATGTCTGTGTGTCCTGACAGGGAGCGAGTTGGGAAGCACTGACTTTGCGGTGTTGAGCGGATGTGCTCAGCTCTAGTCAGTCAGCATATGGAGGCTTTGCAAATTTTAAAAAGTCTCCCTTCAAGATCCTACTGCCATCTGAAACAATGAATAAAACAGCAGTAGACTCACAGGCACTGAGAAGTAACTAGTGGTTACTATGGGGGAACGGGTGGGAGGGGTGGGTAGGAGAGGGATAAAAGGGCACGGAAGTTCTCAGTCATAATATCAGTCAGTCAGGGGGATAGTAGTGCAGCATGGGGAATATAGTCAATTTGGTACCATCCTCCTCTGTTGACACAGAAACTGCACTGGAGGGTGTGAGGATCAAGTAACACGGGTAACCATTAAACCACTGTGTTGTATACTTGAAACCAATATCAGATTGATTGTATATCAATGATACTTCAAAATAATAATAATAATAATAAATGACTACTGCCATTTGCTGGAATATTGACTGTAAGAGCTGAAGAGCCATTTTCTGAGTACGTGACTCAGGGGAGGAGGAACTGGGTAAGGCTTGTTAATCATGGACACCAGGTTGTGGGCGGCTGCGACCGTGGTCAGCTTGTCTTGCAAAACCACTCTGTCTAATTGAGGAGTGGTCTTATCTTGCTCTTGCTTAACCCCCAGGTGTGTGACTTGCAAAAATAATATGTAACTGTGGAAAACTACTGTGAGTTAAGTGCTTTGAAAATGCTATATAAACCCCTGGCTTTGAGTGCTCTGGGTCCTTGTTGAAACCCGCTGCGTCGGGCAGACACTTGGACCCCAGCTAACTCAACATAAACCTCACTGTGTGACTTGCATTATCGTGAGTGTCTTCTGTCTATTTGAGAGGTGGTCGACTCCGGACCCTAACACAAGCGACCTGTCACTAGACAGTTCCAGAGACTTCATCTGTCATGATGATGATCTATGGTATGTTTACCCCAAATGTCACCACTGTTCATCCCTCTGGGAAATTCCCAATGAAGGGAGACTTAAGCTATCCTACAGCCAGTGCCCCTGGATGGACCTCCAGTGTCCTTAACCAAGGGATCCATTTCTTATTGGAGAATAAGCTCTAGCAATTTGTGCCATCTCAGACTCAGCATGCTTCTCACATATTCAGCCTGGCGTGTCAGCTTCATGGTCATCCTGGAACTTTTTAATTAGTTTCCTGACATGTCCATGCAGCTGTCTGCTGGAAGAATTTCAACTACCTACAGCTTTTCCCTTAGCTGACTGAGTAACTCAATCCAATTATGATTACCATAACATATATTAACTATCACTGGTAGTTGTAAGTCTTGCTCCAACCCCCAAAATATTTTTGTGGATGTGAAAATATAAGCTGACTACATTTCCCTGAAGAATATTTCCTAGACTTTGCTTGTATTCATTAACTTAAATAATTGTCTCCAAACACATATAGTAACACTAATATTAGCATAGTCAAAAGTTACTATCTGTTTCTCAATGTGTTTTTACATTTGACTGTATTTCCTTCAGTATTTAAAAGAGACCTGCTATATAGAAAATAACGAAACAAAAATAATTAAGACACGGAAGCAAGGAACTGGAGTATGAAAAACAGTTATGATATTAATTAATGTGGCCAACAATTGCTATTCCTATCATTCACCTTCCATTTTTTTTCCTCTGTGGGTTTATTTGTGTTCATTAAGTAGAATATGGTAAAGGGAAGCCATTCTCCAAATCACTTTCTGCAATGTTGATACCAGTTTGCATTACTCAGTTAGGTAAATTTTAAATATTTTGCTAAATTGGTAACACTAAGATTAAAAGAAAAAGAGCTTGAGTTAATGGGCATAATCTGCTAAGGAATCCTGCAGAATAATTGGTTCAATGAGACGATGGGAGCTTTGCAGGATCACCCATCCTCCCTGGGTGTTGGTGTTTAGGAAGGAATGGAAGGTGTGCAACAGAGGAACAGGCAGTAGAGGTTAGCAGGGAAGCTCCCTTCAAGGGGTAAATGTCTAGCTGGACGAGCTTGGTAGGGAGAGCACAGTTGAACTGTGGTCAATTGGTATGTTTGATGATATTAAAAACTTACAAAGCTAAAATGTTATTAGGCAATTAAGTCTGTCCATTAGCATTTCAGGTAGGAGCCTCCTTCCTCCATTGCCTAGCTCAAATCTGTTCATTAGAGTTCAGTCTTGTCTCAATAACATTCACTAAGGATATTCACTAATTACGTGCTCTCACATTGGTAGTCTACATTACAACAAAATATAGAACCCCTGTTGTCTTCAGCCATTAACAAAACCTCTAGTTAGGTGAACTTGAAGAAAAGAATAGGGATGCTCCCTACCACACAGTCTTTATTGACCATCTTCTGGCCTTCTCTCTAATTCTCACATGAGCATCTCTCGTCTACCCCCTTGTTACATGGAATAATAGCTCACATTGTTCATCCTCTGCACAATGTGTCTGAGATCTCTGCTCCATCAGTCTTTGCCC